GGGGGGGTTTAGCCACTCCCTAGCCCGCAAATCGGGTTTATATTTTTCCCCCCGACCCCCTCCCCCCCTCGCGCATGTATGGCCACAAAAAAAGTGGTTTTTAGGGAAAAAAATTTCATTGACTTTTCACACATCGAGACAAAAATTTCTAAGAATCAGTTGATAACGAATACCAGCTATGCCCCCGCTGTATTCTCCAGACATTGCGCCTTCTGACTACCACTTGTTTCAGATGATTCAAAATCACTTAAGTGGAGAACGGTTCGCTTTTTTTCAAAACCTCGAAAAATGGATCGATCTTTTAATGGTGTCAAAAGTACCGTAATTTTTTCGAGATGGTAACTGTAATTTGCCTGAAATATAGGCAAAGGATGTCGCTTCCGATGGACAATACTTTGAATAAAAAATATGTAATCATCTTTTCACAATAAAGCTAAGTACACAGTTCCTCGTGAAATGAAAAAATTTCTCCGTTGGAATATTTACAGGTGATATTTGTATGGTGTTTTTTATTTTCGAGTTGCAAGCATAATGATTTTTGATGCATGAAACAGTTAACTCCCTTCAATATCAACACAACAAATGAACAAGTTTGAATTTTGAATTCATTCTTGAATTTATTTTGATCTTTCTTATTTTTTCACGGCCGTGAAAAAAATTTCGCGTAATATTTTTCACGACCGTGAAAAAAATTTGTTTAGACAAAACACATAGAAGAATGAACTCAAAAACCAAATTTGTTCATGTGTCGTGTTGATGTTGGAATGAGTTAGCTGATTTATACATCAAAAATCATTATGCTTGCAATTCGAAAATAAAGAACACCATAAAAATATCACCTGTGAAAATTTCACCGGAGAAATGTTTTCATTTCACAAGGAACTGTGTACTTAGCTTAAACATCCAAAATTTAAAAAAAAACAGCGAGAAGTTAGGAATACACCCAATATAAAAAATGACTGGATTTCAATGATTCGATTTTTTCCCATGTGAAGGATTTTCGACATCAAATTTTAAAGACAGAAGCGGATTCAATAAGTCCAGTTGACTTTTGGAAACTCATTGAATTCATTAGAATATCAAAAATTGGTCGATTTGAAAATTTCGTTGATGAAAAATTTGAATTGATTTGTATAAGGAATTTTCGACATCAACATTTGACCGTCGAAATTTTCTGTTTTGCACATTTAAGACATGGCATTGGTTTCAATGAGTTCCGTTGGCCCCTAGAAACTGATTCACTCCATTGAACCACCTGTGCATTGTCCTGAACACTTCGTCTATACATGGTTTCACTCTAAAGTGTTCATTTATTGACGAAAAATGTGTTGGTATTGAACAAATTACCAAACCCTATAATACACCATTTACACCCCATAGGACAGTTCAACCTCGATATTATTGACATACTCACTGCGCTCCACTGTTCCACAGTATAGTTTTTATTGATATACAGTGTATATTACACACCGTACGGCACAATACGGGAAACGACCCTTTGTAACAGGCTATAGTTTTATTATGGTAGGGGGCCCTATTCCCCAAACCGTAGGAGATGGGACAAAAAGGTCTGAAGCAATATTGTTAACCTTGCGGTTCTCTACAACTTTGCTCAACACATTCAAGTCATAGCCTTGCTCCCAGCCCCAGTAAAATTACATTTTTTCATGTAACGGTACTTTTAATTCACTATAAACAAAAGGGGACTATAATTTTGATCCACGGAATGTTGCCTTACCTCCCAGAGTTAAGAAGCTATGGCCCTCGGAAGTGATACCCTAATACCAGCAAATCCCTAATTTTAACCCATTTACCGCATTTTTGGGGTTGGGTATCTATATATAATTTATCTACACATGATAGTATCGGGGGATTGTCGGGTCCGTGTCTGGGCCTCTCACATTAGAGAAAAACGCAATTTGCACTTTGAAAATCAGAAACTGTATACTATAATAATTTTTTGGGGACATCCATGACTTCAAAAATGATAGATTAAACATTTTCAACTTAGGTGGCACTATATTAAAGACAAATGAACTATTTGTCGGTTGTTCAAATCCCGAAACCCCGAAACCCGACAATCATCTACAGTTTTTATGGATTTTCCCGAGAAGAGTGTAACCAAAAATTTCGGAAGTATTATTTTTTGAAAGCGCACGACGCCTACAACAAAATCTTATTTGGTATATTTGTGTATTAATTTAATTTCAAACATTTTCACGGACCGTTTTTGGATTCATTGAAACCCCGACTTTGAACACTACATAATACCCTTTAAGATGATGATGTGAATTTTAATAAGGTGCTTCTTTTGAACACTTCAGACCACCCCCTGGGTACCCCCTTCGTATGATATGGTGATATATTTTTGACTTGACCATACTTTGAGCATGGGGATATGGCGTTTTTGACTATTTGAGCCAAGACCTTTCCAACAGTACATAACATGCTGGGGGTCAAATAGTGTCCTGAAAAAATAGCAAACCTACTGTATATGTAGTTGTGACGCAAAAACTTGCATTTTGAAGTGCACAGTCTATGGAGCGTCATAATATATACTGAATAAAAACAAAAGTTTTCGAAGAAGAAAAATCGACATTTTCAGACCCAATTCTTTGGTACAAGGGTTAATGGGAAGGTAAGTGCAATATCCATATAATACCAAATCCCAATAAGATCGATATAAAATCAGTCATGTAAAAAATCATTACTGAGTGTTATATTATTTCTACTCGGAAAATCATGCTTATCCTCACAACGCATTTTTTTTAAAATAATTGATGGAAAATTTAAATAAAAAAGCTAAAATGTGATTTGAACGCAATGATGTGAAGCATGAAAACGAGTAAATATGTCCGTTTGAATTTTCTAGCATACCTAGCGAAGCAGGTTTAGCTTTACCAGTTAATGGTGGTCGCTGTGGTCGACCTGTATCACTCTGACTTCTATAAAATTTCGCTGCAACCGCTGTTGCGACCCTGTAACGATATTCGATTTTCATTAAAACTACTTAAAAATGAAAGACAACTGAAGATAGTTGTCAAATTGAATGTCAATATTGACTAATGAAATTAACCATGAACTCCAGGTCGCGGCTGCGCTGCCCAAAGACTCTTTTGCATGAACGTCAGCTTCTATAAAATCCATAATACATGATTTAAATTATTTTTATGCATGCATAAAATCAATCATTCATCAATGCATTGATGAATATATAAAACATACTAGTATAAACAATCATTACCCATTGTTTCACGTAGACTAGGGTCTTCAGAAACTTTTTCCAACTTCCCAAGAAAGCCCCGAATCGTTTTGAATGCTGGGTCTCGTACTGACTTTTCATGGTCAACCGTTAGGGAGCATAAAGCTGGTAATATACGATTTGCAATTTCCGTAAGTAAGAAGTATTGCTGCGTGGCAGCCAACGCGAGAATACCAGCAACTCTTGCAGGTGGAAATGGGTCACGCATTGCTCGAATGAAGGCTGATACTAAGACACGTTGGCGCACTTGTGGATGTAAATGAGGTGCAATTTTCCCTAAGCATACGGTGGTATTTGTCCGAATACCACCTTGATCATCACGTGACTGTAATCGAGCAAAATGGCGTAGCACTTCTACATTCAAATTATTATAATTCAACTTTGGTGCTAAATGAATGATTGACTATAGAAAGGGAAGAAATAAAACGGTTCAGATTTTGAATTTAACACATTTGAATATATTAAGTAACAGTATTTACTTTAACGGTTTGTTCGCGTATTGTAGGATTCGTGTCAAGGAATCCATGAGCCACTTGTGGAAATATTTGATCGTTCACGATTTGAGGCTGAAAGTGATTGATGAACAAATCAAGTTGTTGCAATAGTCTGGATCTTGTAACACGATCTGTAGACGCAAAAAGTTTCACAATACAGGGCACAATGCGCTTTTGATATTCAGCTTCATCTAACAATCTTCCCAGTTTAAACATTGGAGCCAAAACTGCGGAACCAGCGTCACCATATTCAAATGCTGTTATAAGTTGTGGCAAGATCTTTTGACGGCAGACATTGTCAGGGAAATTATCTAGTTGTGTAGCTAAAGAACTGAAAAAACGATTTTTCTCGGCTTTGTCTTTGATTTGGATTTCTTCCAGGAATAATAAAGTATCTACTAAATCATTTTTGAAAAATCCACCCGGTTTTCGACATTTCGTAATTATATCAGCTGGATTCGGCCTACTTGCTGGGGACGCACCAACTAATTCACAGTACAGGCTTGTCAAGGATTTTGGAACCTGCAAATGAATTGATAGAAATGTAATCCGAACAACATTGAAGTAGCTATTGAATGTTTATAGCTCATACGTTTTCGACATCTTTCAAATTACTTCTATTCCTAAGTGGTCCGTTAAATGATTCCCATACTAAACAGCCAAGGCCCCACATATCACTGGAACTGTGCACGCAAAAATCAAATTTTTGTATTGGACCAACTATTTTATGTAGCATCAAATATCTTATACTTACCATTTGGTCGCTAGCTTGAGCTTAGATGCATCATTTTTCTCTGGTGGATCATAGATTTCGAGGGATGCTGGCAGTTTGACCGGGGGAATATGATTTCCATCCACATTTGACACATATTCCAAACCACCCAATTTCCATTCACCGGATGAATTTACAAAAACTGACCAAACAGAAACGTTATTATGCCGCAAATTTCCATCATTGTTCAGGAATGATAAAGCACGCTGTTAATCAATAGATAAAATTGTTGAAGAAATCAATTTGTTGTTTAGTGAACTCTTTTCTACAAAATACGTGTCAGAACAACTCGTGAAACGTACTACGTATAATAGTCACATACCGTGATTTGGAAAATGCCCCAAGCTAAATACAAATCGTTTTGTGATGATCCTTTATCTAATATTTCTAGATATGTACCCAATGGTTGCACGTATTCGGTGGCAACATATAGCATTTTGTCCGTCTCTATGCTATCCAAATATTGTAAGATACTCGGATGTCGTAGTGTTTTCAATCGTTTCATTGAACTTTTTGCAATTTCTAATTTGACATCTGAACCGCTTTTATTATCGTAAACAAATACAGAAACTTCTTCGTTGGTTGTTTTTCTTTTGGCTTTGTGTAATGACCAAATGCTTCTTGTATCTAAGTCTCCAACACCTTCGCCAATCTCATAGGGAAAATCTTTTGCGAATGAGTCGCGTGAGAAGAACGACCACATATTTCGACCAATTAAATTTTTGAAATCTTATTTCTCTTGCAATATATCACTCTTCCAATAGTGATTTCATATGCCTTTTCTACGATTTATCCTATAAACTGTGTCAACGGAATCAAATCACCAAAACTAGTTGCTTATTAATGTCTAATTAAACGGATTTCCGATTTTTATATAGTACAAAAAATTGCATTCTATCGAAATACGAAAACAAAATATTTTAATCAACACGCTACACATATGAATACGAAGTAATAAAAGAAACATTAATAAAGTTGGATTTGTCAACGCTGTGAGTTTTTGTCATCATAATATTTTGTCACCAGGTGGCTCTGGCAATTGACAAATCAAATAAAGTTTTATTTATTGCAGTTTTAAATATCCATGAACATATTCTGTTCGGGTACTACCATTAAGATTTTTAGCTCTAAATGAAATGTGAGGTCATTGTTTTTATTCTCCATGCATTTTTTTGGTCTCCTCAACTTTTTGACAGATATTGGTTGCGTTTTACAGAAAAAGAGCCATTTAAAATTAGAAATGTTTGCCATTGGTCCCTTGACCGGTTTTTCATTGGTTGTTGGGAAAACTGGTGCTTCAGTTGGTCTCTCTACACGTCTAATAAACACATGGAACTAAATTGAACATTCTAAATGTATTTTAATGATTTTCCCTTTTCTTCTGAATGTTCGAAACATCTCTTAACTTTTATATGATCCGTGCATATTTTTCGACGCAATTGAGTTCATTTTTTCATTTTCTGAAAAAACCATAGATCTGATTGTTACGAAACTTGTTGACTTTGTTTTTATTATATAGATTTCAATCTAAGAAATCGTTTCCTGATGAATAAATCATATGTAGCATAATTGATTTTTCAACAATTTCTATGCAAATACATGTCAACTCCATGTCAAAATCAACCCACGATGGTAAAAACGTTATTGTTTTTGAGGATTATGTGAAGGTTAAGTTTGCGTTCAATTAACATATAAAGACATATCTTTACTCAAGCTTGACAAAATAGCTTCATTTTTTAATTTGTAGGCAATTCCACACGAAATCAGAGAAGAGTTGTAATGTGGAGTCGCCATAGATTCTGACATAGTCTGATCTCGTTGATCCTGACCCCCCTGGCGAAATTTAACCCCCAACGATTTTTTTTGGACCCATTGCCATTTTCGGACCTTTTTTTTTTTGCTCCTCAATTTTGCTGCGAAGGGAACACTAACGATAGAATGCATTTTTTTGACCCATCATTGATTATGAAAATGATTTTACACTAGATAGAATCGATTTTCGAAAGTGAGGACCTTTTTTTTTTAGGTCTTTCTGAAACCGATTTTACACTAGATACAATTGATTTTTTTGACCCCATCATGAATTTTTGGTTTGACCCCCCCTGAAATTTTTGGTTTCAGAACCTATGGGAGTCGCCGAATTTTCTGAAAATTGGTTTGGAGTTTTTTTTGGTAAGAAAATGAGAAAACCAAAATCTTAGAGCTGTAAGTGGCTAGACTGGTTTTCTTTCGAATTTTACGTCACCAAATAGCTTAATCGTTGCAGAATCATACAAAAAGATATTATAAATTATAGGGGAATGTAACCGGTTGTGGGACGGGTTTTGTAATTTTGCCACAAAATATTTTTTATCCTATATTTTTCCAAACCCTATATACCGTTCGAAAGATAACCATCATAGCTAACTTTTCTCCAAACAAAATTAGTCATTTATATGCATAACAAAAATTTTATGCTCATTTTCCCGACAGTCTTGAAAATGACGAAAGAAAAAAATTGTACCCGGTTGTGGGACACCTCATTTTTTTTGCTTAAAATGTCCAAGATTGAAGTAAAATCATTAGAAATCATGATTTTATGATTGTTTATTTAATTTTTTAGACTACCATAGGCAAACAATGATCAAATGGTGGTTACATGTCAAATTACGAATGAAAATAAGCCATAATCTTCATTCACATTCAATTCGCAGTGAATGCACATTTAGACACCATTAAAGGCCTTTGCACATTTGAAGTGGACTTTTCTACGGCAAGAAAAGGATTTTATTGAATTTTGATTGGTCAATATTCGATAGAATGTTTGTAGCTGAACGAAATATTACTTCTGGTAACTCTCCATAGTTTACTTTTGTAATATCATCGAATAGCTACCCCAATTGATCCGTGTATCGGCTTCAATCCACTGTTCGGTGCATCTCAAAATCAAGCAAGGTTTCTCTAATTACTTTTTGTCTCAGTCATACGAATCTTTGACTGTTTGGACTGAAGTATCATAACCCTGTACTGGAAAAGCTGTCTTCTGTCCCTTTAACATGATGAGAAATGCAAATGCTGATTTGACAGTCACCAAAAACACCAATAATTCCGACCACACATATTCATTTTAACACAAATGACCAGGGCCTCCGCGAGCGCCTTCGGCGCCTCGGGGCAAGATATGTCGCAGCGCCTTTTACTTAGAAAGAAAAAGAGGTTAATTTTTTTCAATAAAATAAAAATGCATCGAATTTGAAGTGTGATATATACAGATTTACCGGCATTAAAAATGTAATAGGTAGTAGCATTACGTTAACAAAAATTTCCTGTAATGTTATTACAATTGTAATAGCTATTACCGGTAATGCCAAATGACTGGCATTACAATTGTAACACATTATCGGTAATACTAAATTTTGGCATTACAATTATAATAGCTATTACTTGACCCGTTCGTTACAATATTAACATGTTACCTAACATTAACGGTAATGCCAGAAATCTAACATTATTAATGTGATTTTTTAGCATTAATAATGTGATTTTCTAACATTACACACGCAATGTAATGCCAAATGTAACATGTTACGTGGCATTACAGAGAAATTGGTGTATAAACCAACCGGAGTTAAGTCTCATTGTATAGATTGAACATTTCTCTACACGAATGAAAAAAAAAACATATGCATATGTGTGAGTATGTGTAAAATACAGCCTGCCGCAAAACATGTTACGCTGTTGTTCTTGGGGGACCACAGGGCCCCATGGCTATTTTATATTATAGCTGGACTATGATAAGAGATATCGACTTGGTGTCTATGACGAAGTTGTAGTACTCAAGCTGCTCTACAACTTCGCCGTAGACATCAAGTCGTTATCTCTTATCAGTTACGCGAAAAGCCGCGAAAACGTGAAAAACGCGAATTCATAGTTTCTCACTTTTCAAGGAACTGATAAGAGATAATGAGATGGTGTCTATGGCAAAGTTGTAGCTCTGGTCGAGTACTACAATTTTACTACGACACTAAGTCGTTATCTCTTATCAGTTACGCGAAAAAATGATAAGAAAAAAATCGCGTTTTTCACGGTTTTCTGCGGTTTTTCGCGTATTCCGCAAAACTGATAAGAGATAGCGAAATAGTATCTATGGCAAAGTTGTAGTTCTGGTCAAGTACTACAACTTCACTACAGACACCAAGTCGTTATCTCTTATCAGTTACGCGAAAAAATGATAAGAAAAAATTCGCGTTTTTCACGGTTTTCGCGGCTTTTCGCGTAACTGATAAGAGATAACGACTTGGGGTCTGTAGCGAAGTTGTAGCACTTAAGCTGCTTTACAACTTTGGTATAGACACCATCTCGTTATCTCTTATCAGTTTCGCGGAATATGCGAGAAACCGCAGAAAACCGTGAAAAACGCGAATGTTTTCTTATCATTTTTTCGCGTAACTGATACGAGATAACGACTTGGAATCTGTGGCAAATCATAGTACTCGACCAGAGCTACAACTTTGCCATAGACACCATCTCGTTATCTCTTATCAGTTCCGTGAAAAATGATAAGAAAAAACGCGTTTTTTTCGCGGTTTTCAGCGGTTTCTCGCGTATTCCGCGAAACTGATAAGAGATAACAAGATGGTTTTCGGCAAAGTTGTAGAGCAGCTTGAGTACTACAACTTCGCCATAGACATCAAGTCGTTATCTTTTATCAGTTACGCGGAAACCGCGAAAACCGCGAATTTTTCCTTATCATTTTTTCGCATAACTGATAAGAGATAACGACTTGGTGTCTGTGGCAAAGTTGTAGTATTCGACCTGCTCTACATTTCTGTCGAAGAGGCAAGTCTCTTACTTCTTATCAGCTTCACTAAAACAATGTCGGGAAATTTTGCGATTTTCGCGTTTTTTCGCGTTTTTCGCGGAACTGATAAAAGATAAGCAATATTTGTTGCACCAAAATTATAGCAAACTTTGAGTATTACAACTTTGCTTCAGACACTAATTTGTTATCTCTTATCACAGTCCAGATTTCATATGAAATATCTTGGGGGCCCTGGAGTCCCCCAAGAACAGTAATATGTTGCAAATACGAAGAACAGTCATAGTGTTAATGTGTTACGGCAAAATGTAAATCTGTAGTGATATATATTTTAAATAAATTATTCAAAGTACAACAAAATCTGTTTAAGTTAACTTCATTTTTCGTGCTTTAGAATCTGCAAAACTTTCGATAATATCATTGTTATCAATTTTTTCTGCAACTTCATGTTCGATCAAAGGGTTAGACACAAATTCATACTCAACAAACACTCGGCGATACTAGAATCTACTCGGTGCTACTCGGTGCCATTTGGTTCAGTGTAATGTGTAGTATACACAGAGAACTGTCAAAGTCAACTGAGTGTTTTGAGTAGTTTCGAGTTTACATTTAAAATGCATGGATGAACTCGGAACTACTCGGTGCAAAATGAGACAAATTCGTCAAAACTTGTACGTTAGAAAACTGTGTCTACCCCCTTGTGTTCGATAGATGTAATTGCAAGACCATTAAGGCGCTCTTGTGCCATTGAATTGCGCAGATAATTTTTTATGAGTTTTAATTTCGAAAAACTGCGTTCGCCCGTAGAAACAGCTATTGGTGCCGTTAAGAAAATTCGAAGAGCTATGACAAAGTTAGGAACCAAATTTACCATACGACTCTTCTGAATGATATTTAGTATATCAATAGCCATGGTCAAATTGTTGTTTCGAACTAAGGTTGAAACAACTGGAAATTCACGAAATAAATCATTGCCGTCTAAATCGCTTACACCATTATAAGAAAGTGCGTGTTCAAGCTGCTGACATGATTTAAGCAAATGGCCATTCTCTTTGTTTTCATTATAATTTTCACATCAGTGTTTGCGCCTTTTTCGTGCTATATCGGCGCTCTCGCAACAATTTTTTTCTATGAGAAATGCGCTCTTTTCTATTTTTTCTGCGCCTTTTCTATGGAGAATATATGCGCTCTCGCGCCTTTTCAGCGCCCTTCGGCGCC